CGGCGCGCTGTGCGCAGCCGCACATCGAGCCCCCGAGGTGGGCGGAGAGAAGGCCGGGGAGGGCGTGGTTCCCTCAGAGGCGGCCCGCGGAACCCACGAAGAGTCCCTGAGGTCCAAGAATTAGTTGAATGAAGGTGAAGTTTTTACCACGTGGGAATCTAGGAACATTTTATTTCAAAAGTTGGAAGACAACAATTTGGATGAATCTCTAAACATACTATTGAGAAAAGGGGCCAGACGCCAAAGAGTAAATGCTGGCTGGTTCCATTTATATAAAAGGAGAATTAATCTTCCATCTTTCTCGCTTTCAGTCAGACCCGCCGGAGAGTCTTCTGAAAGTAACATCATGATGCTTTCCCAAGGAGAACCCCAGGTTCAGTTCTAACTGGTGTTGGGTGGTGATGACGGGACTGGGAAAACTCATTGGTGTTTCTATCCCTCTCGCTCCCTTCCTTTCTCTCTAAAATCAATTTTTTAAAAAAATGTTTAAATAAATAAAAAAAGGTGTTTCTATATGCTAAAAAGTGAAGGGAAGAGGTTAAGAGCATAAGTCCAGAGCCAGACTGACTACCTAGTTCAAATTCTGCCTCCAGCCCTAGTTGGTCTAGTTCAGTGGATAGAGCATCAGCCCACAGACTGAAGGGTCACAGGTTCAATTCCAGACGGGACTGGGAAAACTCCATTGGAGAAACGACATCTGGTGAGTTTGAGAAGTATGTAGCCCCCTTGGTGTTGAAGTCCATCCCCTCCTGTTTCACACCAGCAGAGGGCCTATTAATTCAATGCCGGGGGGTACATGGGGCCAGGAGAAGTTCAGCGGAGGAGACAGCTATTACATCCAAGCCCAGGGTGCAGTTATAATGTCTGATGTAACTTCGAGAGTTACTTAAAAGAAGGTGCCTCTATATCTATTTTTGTTCATCAGCATTGAACAGACTGTCAAACTAAAGTGGGAAGCCCGGGGAGGGTTGTGGGGGCACGGGGGGAGTAAGAGATCAACCGAAAGACTTGTATGCATGCATATAAGCATAACCAATGGACACAAGACACTGGGGGGTAGGGGAGGCCGGGGGAATGTCA